CAGAATTTCCCTCTGCCCCCAGTACCTCCCAGCCCCCTGGCCTGACTCCTGCACACCCCACATCCCCAGCCCTGCCCTGAGACCCTCACACACTCAACCCCCTGGCCTGACTCCTGCTGCCCCACATCCCCAGCCCTGCCCTGAGACCCTCACACACTCAACCCCCTGGCCTGACTCCTGCCCCCCCACATCCCCAGCCCTGCCCTGAGACCCTCACACACTCAACCCCCTGGCCTGACTCCTGCCCCCCCACATCCCCAGCCCTGCCCTGAGACCCTCACACACTCAACCCCCTGGCCTGACTCCTGCCCCCCCACATCCCCAGCCCTGCCCTGAGACCCTCACACACTCAACCCCCTGGCCTGACTCCTGCCCCCCCACATCCCCAGCCCTGCCCTGAGACCCTCACACACTCAACCCCCTGGCCTGACTCCTGCCCCCCCACATCCCCAGCCCTGCCCTGAGACCCTCACACACTCAACCCCCTGGCCTGACTCCTGCCCCCCCACATCCCCAGCCCTGCCCTGAGACCCTCACACACTCAACCCCCTGGCCTGACTCCTGCCCCCCCACATCCCCAGCCCTGCCCTGAGACCCTCACACACTCAACCCCCTGGCCTGACTCCTGCCCCCCCACATCCCCAGCCCTGCCCTGAGACCCTCACACACTCAACCCCCTGGCCTGACTCCTGCCCCCCCACATCCCCAGCCCTGCCCTGAGACCCTCACACACTCAACCCCCTGGCCTGACTCCTGCCCCCCCACATCCCCAGCCCTGCCCTGAGACCCTCACACACTCAACCCCCTGGCCTGACTCCTGCCCCCCCACATCCCCAGCCCTGCCCTGAGACCCTCACACACTCAACCCCCTGGCCTGACTCCTGCCCCCCCACATCCCCAGCCCTGCCCTGAGACCCTCACACACTCAACCCCCTGGCCTGACTCCTGCCCCCCCACATCCCCAGCCCTGCCCTGAGACCCTCACACACTCAACCCCCTGGCCTGACTCCTGCCCCCCCACATCCCCAGCCCTGCCCTGAGACCCTCACACACTCAACCCCCTGGCCTGACTCCTGCCCCCCCACATCCCCAGCCCTGCCCTGAGACCCTCACACACTCAACCCCCTGGCCTGACTCCTGCCCCCCCACATCCCCAGCCCTGCCCTGAGACCCTCACACACTCAACCCCCTGGCCTGACTCCTGCCCCCCCACATCCCCAGCCCTGCCCTGAGACCCTCACACACTCAACCCCCTGGCCTGACTCCTGCCCCCCCACATCCCCAGCCCTGCCCTGAGACCCTCACACACTCAACCCCCTGGCCTGACTCCTGCCCCCCCACATCCCCAGCCCTGCCCTGAGACCCTCACACACTCAACCCCCTGGCCTGACTCCTGCCCCCCCACATCCCCAGCCCTGCCCTGAGACCCTCACACACTCAACCCCCTGGCCTGACTCCTGCCCCCCCACATCCCCAGCCCTGCCCTGAGACCCTCACACACTCAACCCCCTGGCCTGACTCCTGCCCCCCCACATCCCCAGCCCTGCCCTGAGACCCTCACACACTCAACCCCCTGGCCTGACTCCTGCCCCCCCACATCCCCAGCCCTGCCCTGAGACCCTCACACACTCAACCCCCTGGCCTGACTCCTGCCCCCCCACATCCCCAGCCCTGCCCTGAGACCCTCACACACTCAACCCCCTGGCCTGACTCCTGCCCCCCCACATCCCCAGCCCTGCCCTGAGACCCTCACACACTCAACCCCCTGGCCTGACTCCTGCCCCCCCACATCCCCAGCCCTGCCCTGAGACCCTCACACACTCAACCCCCTGGCCTGACTCCTGCCCCCCCACATCCCCAGCCCTGCCCTGAGACCCTCACACACTCAACCCCCTGGCCTGACTCCTGCCCCCCCACATCCCCAGCCCTGCCCTGAGACCCTCACACACTCAACCCCCTGGCCTGACTCCTGCCCCCCCACATCCCCAGCCCTGCCCTGAGACCCTCACACACTCAACCCCCTGGCCTGACTCCTGCCCCCCCACATCCCCAGCCCTGCCCTGAGACCCTCACACACTCAACCCCCTGGCCTGACTCCTGCCCCCCCACATCCCCAGCCCTGCCCTGAGACCCTCACACACTCAACCCCCTGGCCTGACTCCTGCCCCCCCACATCCCCAGCCCTGCCCTGAGACCCTCACACACTCAACCCCCTGGCCTGACTCCTGCCCCCCCACATCCCCAGCCCTGCCCTGAGACCCTCACACACTCAACCCCCTGGCCTGACTCCTGCCCCCCCACATCCCCAGCCCTGCCCTGAGACCCTCACACACTCAACCCCCTGGCCTGACTCCTGCCCCCCCACATCCCCAGCCCTGCCCTGAGACCCTCACACACTCAACCCCCTGGCCTGACTCCTGCCCCCCCACATCCCCAGCCCTGCCCTGAGACCCTCACACACTCAACCCCCTGGCCTGACTCCTGCCCCCCCACATCCCCAGCCCTGCCCTGAGACCCTCACACACTCAACCCCCTGGCCTGACTCCTGCCCCCCCACATCCCCAGCCCTGCCCTGAGACCCTCACACACTCAACCCCCTGGCCTGACTCCTGCCCCCCCACATCCCCAGCCCTGCCCTGAGACCCTCACACACTCAACCCCCTGGCCTGACTCCTGCCCCCCCACATCCCCAGCCCTGCCCTGAGACCCTCACACACTCAACCCCCTGGCCTGACTCCTGCCCCCCCACATCCCCAGCCCTGCCCTGAGACCCTCACACACTCAACCCCCTGGCCTGACTCCTGCCCCCCCACATCCCCAGCCCTGCCCTGAGACCCTCACACACTCAACCCCCTGGCCTGACTCCTGCCCCCCCACATCCCCAGCCCTGCCCTGAGACCCTCACACACTCAACCCCCTGGCCTGACTCCTGCCCCCCCACATCCCCAGCCCTGCCCTGAGACCCTCACACACTCAACCCCCTGGCCTGACTCCTGCCCCCCCACATCCCCAGCCCTGCCCTGAGACCCTCACACACTCAACCCCCTGGCCTGACTCCTGCCCCCCCACATCCCCAGCCCTGCCCTGAGACCCTCACACACTCAACCCCCTGGCCTGACTCCTGCCCCCCCACATCCCCAGCCCTGCCCTGAGACCCTCACACACTCAACCCCCTGGCCTGACTCCTGCCCCCCCACATCCCCAGCCCTGCCCTGAGACCCTCACACACTCAACCCCCTGGCCTGACTCCTGCCCCCCCACATCCCCAGCCCTGCCCTGAGACCCTCACACACTCAACCCCCTGGCCTGACTCCTGCCCCCCCACATCCCCAGCCCTGCCCTGAGACCCTCACACACTCAACCCCCTGGCCTGACTCCTGCCCCCCCACATCCCCAGCCCTGCCCTGAGACCCTCACACACTCAACCCCCTGGCCTGACTCCTGCCCCCCCACATCCCCAGCCCTGCCCTGAGACCCTCACACACTCAACCCCCTGGCCTGACTCCTGCCCCCCCACATCCCCAGCCCTGCCCTGAGACCCTCACACACTCAACCCCCTGGCCTGACTCCTGCCCCCCCACATCCCCAGCCCTGCCCTGAGACCCTCACACACTCAACCCCCTGGCCTGACTCCTGCCCCCCCACATCCCCAGCCCTGCCCTGAGACCCTCACACACTCAACCCCCTGGCCTGACTCCTGCCCCCCCACATCCCCAGCCCTGCCCTGAGACCCTCACACACTCAACCCCCTGGCCTGACTCCTGCCCCCCCACATCCCCAGCCCTGCCCTGAGACCCTCACACACTCAACCCCCTGGCCTGACTCCTGCCCCCCCACATCCCCAGCCCTGCCCTGAGACCCTCACACACTCAACCCCCTGGCCTGACTCCTGCCCCCCCACATCCCCAGCCCTGCCCTGAGACCCTCACACACTCAACCCCCTGGCCTGACTCCTGCCCCCCCACATCCCCAGCCCTGCCCTGAGACCCTCACACACTCAACCCCCTGGCCTGACTCCTGCCCCCCCACATCCCCAGCCCTGCCCTGAGACCCTCACACACTCAACCCCCTGGCCTGACTCCTGCCCCCCCACATCCCCAGCCCTGCCCTGAGACCCTCACACACTCAACCCCCTGGCCTGACTCCTGCCCCCCCACATCCCCAGCCCTGCCCTGAGACCCTCACACACTCAACCCCCTGGCCTGACTCCTGCCCCCCCACATCCCCAGCCCTGCCCTGAGACCCTCACACACTCAACCCCCTGGCCTGACTCCTGCCCCCCCACATCCCCAGCCCTGCCCTGAGACCCTCACACACTCAACCCCCTGGCCTGACTCCTGCCCCCCCACATCCCCAGCCCTGCCCTGAGACCCTCACACACTCAACCCCCTGGCCTGACTCCTGCCCCCCCACATCCCCAGCCCTGCCCTGAGACCCTCACACACTCAACCCCCTGGCCTGACTCCTGCCCCCCCACATCCCCAGCCCTGCCCTGAGACCCTCACACACTCAACCCCCTGGCCTGACTCCTGCCCCCCCACATCCCCAGCCCTGCCCTGAGACCCTCACACACTCAACCCCCTGGCCTGACTCCTGCCCCCCCACATCCCCAGCCCTGCCCTGAGACCCTCACACACTCAACCCCCTGGCCTGACTCCTGCCCCCCCACATCCCCAGCCCTGCCCTGAGACCCTCACACACTCAACCCCCTGGCCTGACTCCTGCCCCCCCACATCCCCAGCCCTGCCCTGAGACCCTCACACACTCAACCCCCTGGCCTGACTCCTGCCCCCCCACATCCCCAGCCCTGCCCTGAGACCCTCACACACTCAACCCCCTGGCCTGACTCCTGCCCCCCCACATCCCCAGCCCTGCCCTGAGACCCTCACACACTCAACCCCCTGGCCTGACTCCTGCCCCCCCACATCCCCAGCCCTGCCCTGAGACCCTCACACACTCAACCCCCTGGCCTGACTCCTGCCCCCCCACATCCCCAGCCCTGCCCTGAGACCCTCACACACTCAACCCCCTGGCCTGACTCCTGCCCCCCCACATCCCCAGCCCTGCCCTGAGACCCTCACACACTCAACCCCCTGGCCTGACTCCTGCCCCCCCACATCCCCAGCCCTGCCCTGAGACCCTCACACACTCAACCCCCTGGCCTGACTCCTGCCCCCCCACATCCCCAGCCCTGCCCTGAGACCCTCACACACTCAACCCCCTGGCCTGACTCCTGCCCCCCCACATCCCCAGCCCTGCCCTGAGACCCTCACACACTCAACCCCCTGGCCTGCCGTCCCACATTCTCCACCCACCAACTATTTGCTTCAGACTGCGGGCGTCTAAATCCAGCAGGACGGTCCCTTTCCTGAGGCACGTCCTGAGCTCCAGCAGACTGTGCAAGGGCAGGGCCGTGACGTGGGGCTTGCTCCATCGCTCGCCTCCGTCCTCCACCTTCTCCTCAAACCCTCACACACTCAACCCCCTGGCCTGCCGTCCCACATTCTCCACCCACCAACTATTTGCTTCAGACTGCGGGCGTCTAAATCCAGCAGGACGGTCCCTTTCCTGAGGCACGTCCTGAGCTCCAGCAGACTGTGCAAGGGCAGGGCCGTGACGTGGGGCTTGCTCCATCGCTCGCCTCCGTCCTCCACCTTCTCCTCAAACTTCACCCACCTGCGCAGACACACAGCAGGGCCGGTCAGCGGCCGG